GGGCAAGGGTGGATGCACCACTGATCCCCACAGCCCTCCCTCCTCCTGCAAAACTTGGCTTGGCCATTCAGGGCAGCCTTGCCTCGTCTTTGTTGCTCTTATCTGTGGTGTAATTTTTTGGGTTGTTCTTTTAAAAATTGTTTTTAATTATGCTAGAATACACATAAAATTTATGATCTTAGCCATTTTTAAGTGTACGACTCAGTGGCATTAAGTACGTTCACCTTGTTGTGCGACCATCACCACCAACATCTCCAGAACTTTTTCATTGTCCCAAACTGAAGCTCTGTCCCCGTTAGACTCTAACTCTCCATTCCCTCCTTACCCCGGGCCCCTGGTAACCTCCATCCTACTTTCTGTCTCTATGAATTGACTACTCTAAGTACCTCATATAAGAGGAATCGTGCAGTATTTGTCCTTTTGTGACTGGTTTATTTCACTCAGCATCATGTCTTCAACATTCACTCATGCTGAGCAAGTGTCAGAATTGCCTTCCTTTTTAAAGCCGAATAATATTCCATCGCATGGATAGACCGCATTTTGTGTACCCATCCATCCATTGATGGACACCTCGGTGGCTTCCCCCTTTCGGCAACTGTGAATAATGCAGCTCTGAACATGGGTGTATAGATATCTTTTTGAGACACTGCTTTCCATTCTTCTTTTCTTCCCCAAAGATTTTATTTATTTATTTGAGAGGGAGAGAGAGCAAGTGAGAGCACAAGAGCGGGGGGAGGGAGAAGCAGTCTCCCCGCTGAGCAGGGAGCCCAATGTGGGGCTGGATCCCAGGACTGGGACCATGACCTGAGCCAAAGGCAGCCGCCCACCCGACTGAGCCACCCAGGTGCCCCGTTCTTCTGACTTCTTCTGACCAAGAAGGGCAATTGCTGGATGGAATGGTAATTCTATTATTAACTTTTTAAGGAACTGAGACCACAGTGTTTTCCATAGTAGCTCTCTGGTGTGATTTTACGTTGATTTGTGTGATTATTTGATTGTCTGTCCGCTCACCATGAGAGCAGGGATCCTGTTTATTTTTGCCGCCTTGCCTCCTGTATCTCCGTATCTTGAACAACAATGTCTGGGACGCAGTAGTCACTGAAATATCTGATGAATTAATGAATGAGTCAGCCTGATGGGAACACGGCATTGCAGAGAGACTCAGTCTCTGCACTTAATGAGTTTATAAATTAGTTGGTGAGACGTGACCCACACAAGGCAGTGAGCAAATAAAGGAAGGATATAATTATGTACTTCCCACCAACAGTGCACAAGAGGAGGAAACAGTCTTCGCTTGTGATTCTTTCTTGGGGGCCTACATTGGAGGGCTGGGTGCAGAGTTAGCTAAGGAGTCTGGAGACATCAGCCTGGGCACAGCAGTATGCAATGTGGATTAGGAGTGGGCACAAGAGGTCCAAGGCAAGTTGTTCCTTAGGTCACTGCAATGGGGGATCCAGAAAGCAGCCCCCACTTGACAATTAAGCAGGGGGGCAATGCGGGGGGATCTACCATGTCTCCCTCAGGGAGGCACAACGATATTCCACACCCAGGCTGAGGGCCTGGCAAAAGCAAAGCATGGCCCAGTCAATAGGGTTGGGAGCTTAGGCAGAAACTGGGGATGCGGGTGGGGAGCACAGCTCGATCCTAAGAACTCAGATGAAAACCAGACTGAAAGGTGTGAGCTGGGCCTTCTTTTGCCATAAACACCATAAATCCCACAATTGGAAGGATTCTTCTTCATGTTAAGGGGCCGCAGCCCTAAAGTCTTTTTTTTTTTTTCCCCCTTTATGGCCCAGCAGGGAAGGGCTCTGGAAGAGGGCAGGGCTGAGTTTGCAAAAAGGGAGAGTGGCCAGCCAGCTGTGGGGATGTGGGGGAAGGAGGCAGAAGGAGAGGAATTGGTGATAAGAGAGGTATGGAAAAGGGAGGCGTTGGTAAACAGATGCATGGGGAGCAAGATGGAAAAGTGGCCTGCCCAGCCAAGGTGGCAGGCACAGGCTGTAATGGGAACCACAGAGCTGGGCTAGTGTTGAGGCAGGGTGGGGAGGCCTGGGAATCAAGTGGAGACATGCTCCTATTTCATTTTCCTTCTCCTTCGATGAGGAGGAAAAAAAATCATTGCTTTAATATTAGAACTTGGAATTCCTAGGGGAGAGAATAGTCTATTTAACCTTGATGAACCAGCCTGGTTTTGAAAAAACAGAACCCAGAGCCTCTGTGTCCAGGGTCAGGTATGAATCGGAGTCAGGTAATTGTCTCTGCCAAAGAAATGAACAGAAATGCTTAGTTTGAGGAGTGGGAAAGCTCTGGAAGAACTCTGAGGGGAAGGGATATTGCAGTTTGGCCCTCAGGTTTTGGGACTAGAGGCAGACGTTGGGATGGTCATCGGGTTTTCCATCCTATGCATGATGCATGTTGAAACAGAGTTTTAATTATTTCAAAGGGCAAGGAAACCCCAGCAATGTAGAAGATTTGAAATACGGAGGGGCCAGCATCTGTCCGGGTCATTGTGGTAGCCAGACTTGGAGATGGCCCCTGGTGATCCTTGGCACCTGGTATTCAAGCCTCTCCCACACTGAATAGTCCACCTGGGTGATCAGTAGGCTGTTACAGAAATGATGGTGTGTGACTTCTTGGCTAGGGAAGAGGAAGACATTGTGACTTCCTTGTGGTTCTTTCTTGGATCATTCCCTCGGGGGAAGCCAGTTGTCCTGCTGTGAGGACACAAGCAATTCTCTGGAGAGGTCCCTGGGGCAAGGAACTGATATCTGCCAACAGCCAGCACCAACTTGCCAACCGCGAAGTCAGATCCTCAGTTCCAGTCTAACCTTCCATGACCTCAGGCTTGCCTTTCACCTTGACTGTAACCTCGTTAAAGACCTGGGGGCCATGAGCTGGAAACAGCCACCGAAGGTGCTTCTGAGTTTTTGACCCACAAAAATGGAGAAACAGTACAGAGTACAACACTGTTTATTGTTGATTTAAGTCATCGAGTGTTGGGTAATTTGTTACTGATGAAGAAATAACTAATCCATTGTGTTCTTAGTCAAAATTCTTTTATTTTGGCTGATTATTTCCATTCTCTGCCCCCCCCAAACACACTCAGAGTAGTGTGTCGCTTTTCTCCCAGACGCATCAAAGTACTACTTCAAGGATATTTTCAGAGGTTGCTGTGCATTAAAGTAACCTAAAAACTGAATTCCAAATCCTTGAGCCGTATGTATTTCTAACACAGACCAAACACAGGAAGGAAACAAAAACATCTGCTTACAAGCATACGGTTTTTGTTCAATTCCTATCCAATTTTTTTTTAACTTCTGACTTTATTTTATTAAGCATTTACAAAGAAAACCCCCCAAATTTACAAAAGAAACAGCAATACAGTACTCCAATATATTGACAACAAAATGAAAAAAAATACTATTAGATGTAATGTAAAATGCACATTTTGTGCACCATGCCTTGAACTTCTAAGTGATTATTGTGTTCAATTGTGCATCACTGATTGATGTTTAGACTAATTGGACCACAAATCGACTCGGTCGGTGAAAATGGCCATGCTGGCCACACACCATGCTGTTGACACCACCAGTTGGTGACTAAGCTACAGTGGGAGTAGATGACAGGCTGGGGCTGCAACAATAGAAAAACAAATTATCCATGGCTAGTCATTGCTAATAAAGTAATAAGGTTACACACATTCTCAAAACGTCTATGAATAAGAAGGAGGATAAAAAGGGCGGAGAACAGGAATCAAGTTATGTCAAAGGACCTCAGTAGATTATTTTGGAAAAACAAAACTTGCCACGTGGATGGCTTTACCCAGGACTGTGTTAACGCCCAAGCAGCTTCAAATGCTGTTTGGACAGTGGGAACGAATCCAAAGTCAGAACAGGCTATTGGAGAAAGGGTGAGTTAAGACAGAGTAGTATTACTGGAGGCCTGAGAAGTGTTAAGAATCCAGTGAGTTCTGAGTTGGCATTAAGGTGATCCATGCTCCGGTCAGGGATCAGCATCCAGCTAATCATCCAATCAAGAGGACCTCCAGCAGGAGACTGTGATTCAGAGGCAGGAAATCCCACCCCCAGGGTGGGACTGCCAGCATATTGTGCTGGGACTTCGCCAGCTCTCTGTCCACTACATGGTCCCTAGACACCACTTCTTACCCCGAGGCAAGCTGCATAGCCATATCCCTCCAAGGCCCTGCTGTTCTCTGGTCCCTGAACTTTCTGAGAGCTTGTCTCATCCGAGCAGGGGAGGCCCCTCCAGCTGGGACTTCCTCCCTGCTGGCTGTGGGCAGTCGAGCCCCTGAGCTCTCTGAGAGTTCATGGCTCCTTTCAAATTCCCAGAGGTAGTCTCGATCTTTCAGATATCCAGCCCCCTTTGTCACTGCCTTAGACCAAGTTGCCATGACCTGGGAAGGAGCCTCCTTGGGGAACTACTGCTCTGTGCTACACCAGTTCTCCTCCTCCACTGGCCTAACTCCAATCATGAGGACGCAGCTTCTTCCTCTTTCAAGGCGGCTCCATTTATCTTCCTTTCAGGGGACTTGGGGCCTGCATTTTTCTTCTCTCTTTTGTACAGGAGTCTTAATACTTACACCCGGGCTGTGACCTCTGACCTGTAAGTCCCTTTGCAGTTTCTCCCCAGGGTGACTCGTGAGGAGGGATAGCCCAGAGTTCGGAAGTGGGAGTGAAGGTTACATTAGCTCGTTGCCAGGCTACACTTATTTTAAGGGATAGAGTCCTCTTTTATTTTTTTTTCTTCCTCAAGCTCCTTTCCAAAGCATTGTTTATAGCTATTGTGTCTTTTAAAAAAAAATTGGAAATTACTGCCTTTAAGTTTGACCCTTGCAAAAGGTCTAAATCTGTCCTGGGAACTAGGGGTTACAAGATAGAACAAGCCTGGGCAAATAATTTATAGTTTCACGTGGTCCAAGGACAAGCAAGGAAATGTGCAGTCCTAATACAGGTCTGAATGAAGCATTCTTTCCTCAGAAAGCATCTAGGGGTACCAGGATCAAGTTCAAGGTCCCCAGCACAGTGCGAATGGCTTTTCAAGACCTGACTCCATCCACCTTTCCAAACGCATCTCTCCATTCACAAGTAAGTTGTCCCCAGGTTTGCTTATGACTTTGCGTTATGCCCTTTGCCTTGTGTGATCGTTAATTTTATGTACCAACTTGACTAAACTAAGGGGTGCCAAGGTAGCTGGTAAAACATTATTTCTGGGCATGTCTGTGGAGGGTGTTTCAGGAAGAGAATAGCATTTGAATTGGTAGACTGGGTAAAGCAGATAGCCTTCCCCAATAGGGGTGGGCCTCATCCAGTCCATTGGGGATCCAAATAGAACAAAAAGGTGAGGAAGGGAAAATTCACTCTGCTTGATTTGGGACCTCCCTCTTCTTCTGTCTTGGTTCTCAAACTTTGGACTCAGACTGAATGATACCATTGGCTTTCGTAGTTCTCCAGCTTGCACACGGCAGATCATGGGACATGGCCTCCATTAGTGTGTGAACCAATTCCTATAGTAAATTTCCTCTTCCAGGTATCTCTGTGTATCCTACTGTCTGTTTCTCTGGAGAACCCTGACTAATACACCTTGAATGCCTTTGCCCACCTCTGAGCTCTTATTTATCTTTTACGAGGCAGGTTAAATGTCACTGTCCTGGTGACACTTCGCCAGATCCTCCTACAGTTAGTAACTCCTGTTCTGCTCCCACTTTGTCCACACCTCATGTAGTTACATTGTAATGATTTATTTAGATGTCTTACTGCCCCAATAGCTTATGAGTTCCTATGGCATGAGCTTTATTCATATCTGTATTCCTAGTACAGAGTAGACACTCAATAAATGCTTTTTAGTAAAATGAATGAATGAGTGAATGAATGACTGAATGAAATCTTGATTGGCAGGATAATTTTGGGTATTCGGCTCTAGCATGGGTTAATTAGGAGCATGGACGAGGGACTGGGAGAGGCAGAAGACCATGTTCTTGAATAGGAAGATGAGGGGGACACCAGAAGTGAACATAATTTCCTTAGTAATTTTGCCTTAGATTTGTTCTGTCTAAGGGGGTGTCTTGTATGGAAAAAAATTCCATTTGACTCAACCTTTGACCATTGACCCTTTATGGACATTTCTCAGGAAGCTTATGGTCCACATAACCCAAATCTCAAATTAGGTGGTGATCATAATTGGATTTCCAAATTTACTGTGTAATTTATTTAATTCTAATATAGTAATAATACCTTATAATTATATGGTATCTTTCATCTTCCAACCTCAAAGCATTTTCTAAATATTAATTGACAGGAACAGCCCCAAGTGTTTGATGCTACTGGATCCATTTCTCAGCTGGGTAAGTGTATGATGGAGAGTTAGCTGACTTGCCAAGAGCATGTTATTATTTTTCAAAACACTTTTCATTATGGAATATTTTAAGCACACAGAAATAGAAAGGAGAGTACAATGAACATCTATGTACCTACCACTCAACTATGAAGTTGTGGCCAATCTTGTTTTACCTATTTCTACCATCTTGTGTTACTTTGATGCAAATCTCAGGTATCATACATTTTCATCCATAAATTTTTCAGTATCTACAAAAGATAAGAACTCTTTAAAAAAAACATGACCATGGGGGGACTGGGTGGCTCAGTTGGTTGTCCGACTCTTGGCTTTGGCTCAGGCTGTGATCTCAGAGTCTTGAGATCAAGCCCTGCATCAGGCTCCCCACTCAATGCAAAGTCTGCTTGAGATTCTATTTCTCTCCCTCTGCCCCTCCACCCACGCTCTCTCTCTCTCTCAAAAAAAAAAAAAAAATGACCATGATAAGAGTATCACACCTTCGACAATAGACAATAACTTTTTAATATCAAGTATTCGATCTATTTTTAATTTCCAATTGTTATATAAATTTTAAAATTTTGTGGTTTTGAATCAAGACCTAAATACGGCTCATATATTGTGTTGGTTGATATCTTTTATGTTTCCTTTTTTTTTTTTTAAAGATTTTATTTATTTATTTGAGAGAGAAAGAACAAGCAGAGGGGAAAAGCAGGTTCCCCACTGAGCAGGGAGCCCAGCTCAGGGCTTGATCTCAGGAACATGAGGCCATGACTTTCTCCAGAGGCAGACGCTTACCCGACTGAACCACCCAGGTGCCCCTCTTTTATGTTTCTTTTTAAACCTGTAGGTCCTTCTCTCTTTTGTAGTTTATTTGGTGAAGCAATCAGGTTTTGTCCTGCAGAGTTCTCGCTGTTTGGATTTTTCTGATCACACGTTCATATTACCAGTTAACATGTCCTTTCCTCCTATTTCTTGAAAACTAGGAGTTGGACCCAGAAGCTTGATCCAGAATTGGGTTTAATTTTTTTGGCAAGACAACTTTATAGGTGTTGGTGTTTTCTTCCATCAGGAGGTAGATAATGTCTGGTTGTATGTTTCTTTTTGTGATATTTGTAGTTGTTGATAATCTATGTCTACAGTCATTAATTTATTAGGGATTCCTTCATTATTTATTAATGGGAATATATCTATAAAGAGAAACTTCATCTACTATTTGGTTATTCTAACAGTTTGGGCAATCCTAAAATTTGTAGGAACCACAAAAGATCCTGAATAGCCAAAGCAATTCTGAAAAAGAAAAACAAAATTGGAGGCATCATGATTCTGGATTTCAAGCTCTATTACAAAGCTGTAGTCATCAAGACAGCATGATACTGGCACAAAAACAGACACATTGATTAATGGAACAGAATAGAGAACCCGGAGATGGACCCTCAACTCTATGGTCAACCAATCTTTGACAAAGCAGGAAAGAATATCCAATGGCAAAAAGACAGTCTCTTCAACAAATTATGCTGGGAAAACTGGACAGCAACATGAAAAATAATGGAACTGGACCACTCTCTTACACCATACACAAAAATAAATTCAAAATGGAAGAAAGACCTAACTGTGAGACAGGAAACCATTAAAATCCTAGAGGAGAACACAGGCAGCAACCTCTTTGACATCAGCCAGAGCAACTTCTTACTAGACACGTCGCCAGAGGCAAGGGAAACAAAAGCAAAAACGAACTATTGGGACTTCATCAAGATAAAAAGCTTCTGCACAGCAAAGGAAACAATCAACAAAACTAAAAGGCAGCCTACAGAATGGGAGAAGATATTTGCAAATGACATACCTGATGAAGGGTTAGTATCTAAAACCTAGAACTTACCAAACTCCAAACCCAAAAAACAAATAATCAAGTTAAGAAATGGGCAAAAGACATGAACAGACATTTTTCCAAAGAAGACATATATATGGCTAACAGACCCATGCAAAGATGCTCAACATCACTCATCAACAGGGAAATACAAATCAAGACCACAATGAGACACCACCTCACACCAGTCAGAATGGCTAAAATTAACTACATAAGAAACAACACCTGTTGATGAGGATGTGGAGAAAGAGGAACCCTCTTGCACTGTTGGTGGGAATGCAAACTGGTGCAGCCACTCTGGAGAATAGTTGGAGGTTCCTCAAAAAGTTAAAAATAGAACTACCCTACGATCCAGCAATTGCACTACTAGGTATTTACCCAAAGGATACAAAAATACAGATTCAAAGGGGTACATGCACCCTGATGTTTATAGCAGCATTATCAACAATAGCCAAACTATGGAGAGAGCCCAAATGTCCAGCAGGTGATGAATGGACAAAGAAGATGTGTCATATATATATAAAGGAATATTACACAACCATCCGAAAATGAAATGTTGCCATTTGCAATTATGTGGATGGAGCTAAAGTGTATTATGCTAAGTGAAATAAGTCAACCAGAGAAGGACAAATACCATGTGATTTCACTCATATGTGGAATTTAAGAAAGAAAACAGATGAACATATGGGAATGGGGAAAAGAAAAAAAGGAAAGAGGGAAACAAACCGTAAGTGACTCTAAACAATAGAGAACGAATTGAGGGTTGATGGAGGGAAGTGGGTGGGGGATGGACTAGATGGGTGATGGGTATTAACGAGTGCACCTGTTGTGATGAGCACTGGGTGTTGCATGTAAGTGATGAATCACTGAATTCTACTCCAGAAACCAATATTGCAGTGTATGTTTGCTAATAAAATTTAAGTTAAAAAAAATAAGTACAATTTGGGTTAGAAAGAGAAAAATGCTTGATTCTCTTTACTAATTATTCAAAATAATGCATTCATTTTTAGCATTATCCAATATTAAATGATTTGATTATTTAATCTATTTATATATTAACATGAATATTGAGGTATAATGGACACGGATTGCACTTATTCAAAGTGTATAATTTGATGAGTTTTGATAAATGTATACATCTGTGAAACTGTCACCATAATTATGAAAATGAACCTATTGCTCATGAATTTGATTTTTAAGGTATTTTATAAGCTGATAAATTTAAACATGTTGATATTTTCCACCGTCTTAGTTATTGCTCTTTTTGAAGCTCCGATGGTCTCATTTTTGCACAAAGGGAGCTATGTAGGTCCTCCCATGGTCCTTTGGAAATGACTCTCCTAGGCTTTGTTAATTTCCTTGCCATCTTGTCACGACAGGATGCTCCAGATCTGACATCAGCCCTTTCTCCACGCAGCCCTGGTCCTTTCAGTGGGAAACAGGATGTGTCATATATTATATGGTGGTTAAACAGAGCAGCAAAATCCAATAAAATTTTTGGTCTGAGTTCACTGTAGTCAGAATGCAATAGTGCTTTACCAAGCAGCTCTATAATTATGTCTTTTGTTTCTGTAGTTCCTTTCACTGAAGTGTTCAAAGTGATTTTACAGCATCAAATTGATCTTTGGGGCAATCTAAGGGTAGAAGAAAAGGTTAGAGATATTATTATCCCATTTTATAGTTGGGGAAACAGATGCAATTGTTGTGACTTGTCCATTAGTTTGTAGAAAATTGGGTACAAGTTTGAATCGAATCCTAGCCAGGAAAACAGGGATTCTCATCTTGCTGCTAGGGTCACCCTGGCTTAACAACCTGAGATAAACTTTTTTTTTTTTTTTTTTTAAATAAATAGGGGATAAGAATCAATAAGCAATGGAAAGGAAGGGAAATAGTTTTTTCCTGTCTTTTCTGTTTCCTTCCTTCCTACCTTTTTTTTTTTTAATTTAAAAATTTCAGTGGCTCTCCTAAGGAGTTGAAAAATATATGAGAAGTGGGATGAGAAATTAGGAAATCACAGGATCCTGGGCTTTGAAGAGTCTGTAAACCTTGCAAGCCCAGCCTCTTTCATCCAGACAGCACTGCATGGGGGCTAAATCCAGATAAATGGGCAGCTCTCCTTTTAGACAGATGCAACGAAGTGTAGTCCACTGTGAACTAAATCAATTTAGACTTACAAAAGCAAATCCCAAAATAGCAGCCTGGAGTTCATGAAAATGAATCCAAGTCTGAGTGCTCTGGGAAAAATAGATGACCAGGAATAGACCGTGCTGTGAAACTCTGAGAGCGCTTTGCAGCTGTGGCTTCCATTTCGCCCCGGTCCTCGCTGAGGAAATGGGAAGGTAGCCTACTTTGTGCTAACTAAAGAATTAATGATTCCATTAATTAGCTTCATGGATTTTCTCTGCAGCCTCAATGTAGGCCACGGAGAAACATTATAGATTCATCTTCCCTAGAGGTCTTTAAAACCGGGTGGTATCAGAGGAAGGAGAATCAGAGGCTTTGGAGTCTGGGATGAGGAAGCTGGAAGCACCTTGTGTAGCATCCAGGACAGTGTTTCCCAAACTGGTTCCAGGGAGCACTAGTGTTCTGAGGAAAACAGAGTTCTGTGGTAAAATAAGGGAAATAAGGCTATATCGCTGTCTCAAAGATTCCCAAAGCATATCATTATCTGAAAGGCTTTTAGAAGTCCTGCAATAAATATCTTGGTCTCTGTTTAAATGTTTCCTCAGATGTATTTGACTGTGGAATCCTCCAACACCTTTTCGCCCTATGCTGTTAACTTGCGGACATGAGCGTACCAAGAGACAGTAATTTTAGAAATGTTGACATAGCCCCTTCCTTTTACAGACGAGGAGAATAAGGACCAGAGAGGTGGGACAATTTATTCAGGAGTCACAGTGTAAGTCACTGGGAGCCAGAATTAAATAGAGGAGAAAGCAGGGCATTTGGAATGAGACAGACCTGGGTTCAAATCCCTGCTCCGCAGTTATCTAACCATGGGATCTTGGGCAATATCTTAATTCCTTCTGAACCTTGATATTTTTATTTGTAAGACTGGCAATATAACGCTGATATCCTGGAACTGTTACCTGTGAAATGTGTTGTGAGTTGGTGGTTCCATTAGAGAACAAGTCTGAAGCCCAGGTGTCAGAACAAGGACAAGCTGGGTGCCCAACTAACTCTGAGGTGAATGGAATCTCATGGCTGGGAGCCTGGCTGAGTTGTGGGATTGACAAGGTGTAGATGAGGACCCGGACAGTGAGCGCTACTGTAGCAGGAGGAGGGGGTGGTAGAGGCTGGGAACCAGACAGCGCTAATTGGTAGTTCCCCACAAGGAAGTATGATTAGAAGGTAGAGACAATGCCTCACTTTCAGACGAACACAACACCCCCTTCCTCTTTTACTCGGCGTTACAAACTGAAGCAGCTGGACCGGAGAAGGGGGAGGTTGGGGAGGGAGTGGTCTAACTCGACAGTGAGAGCCGATCATTGTTTATCTTTGTTCTTTGTTTCCATGCTGGTGAAAACTTGCCATGTTTTACAGGGTCACCCACTAAATAGAATGGTGACTTAGGCTTTATTAATTATAAATTAGTAGCAATTTGCATGGATTATTATGTTTCATGCTCTACGAGGCTTTGGATAAATTATATATATCCTTTCTGGGGGTGTTGGGATATTTTAGACTGGGATGAGGGTGTTGCAGCATGATCTCCCCTAAAGCAAACTAGTGCTCATATTTACGTGGTGGGTTTTCCCGTCCTGCTTGTCCCTGGCATGTTCCCCCACACAACTGGCTCTATGTGGGTCAGCTCCCCTCCTATACGTTCCTACAGCTCCTCTGTAGCATGCTTCCTCGAAAGCACTCAAATAGCATGGCAATGATCTATGGGGCTCTCCCCCCATCCGGTGTCTGGATACTTAAAGAGAGCAAGAACTGAGTCTCATACATCTCTTTCTTCCCTCAGCCCCCAGGACGGCATGTGCTCTGAGTCAGTGCTTATTAAAGGTGATTTGAGTGAACGAATGATGCTCTGTTCTTTTTCACATTCTCCTTCCTATTTAACCTCCACAGATCATCGTTTTTCATTCTAAAAATAATCTCCACTTCTTTAGTTTTTCCAGCTTTTTTGATACACAATTGGCACATAACATCGTGTAGGTTAAGGTATACAACGTGATGATTTGATACATGTATATATTGCAAAACGACTACCACAATAAGGTTAGTTATCACTTCCATCACCTTGCAAAATGATCATTTATTTTCTTCCTGTATATCATTGGTCTTTTACAGATGGAATCCTCATCCCTATTTTACAGATGAAGGCAAGGAACCCGCCCTTTAAGTAAACATGCCAGAACTGGGTCACTCTGAATGAGTATCCTCTCTCCTACCTACAGCATCCTCTTGGCACTCTCAGTGCTTGTGGCAGAAGTGACCTTGGCCATGGATGTCGGTGTCAGGGGCACCTCCACTTACGTGTCCTCAGTGCTCACTACTCTTTTACGGCAGATTTCATTTTTGAAATCAGTTCCAAGTCATTTGGAGCAAAATCTGGTAAAAGAAGGTAAGTGACCCAACTTGAAAATGCCATTTCCATTTCAAAAGAAAGTCCTAGCTGACACAAATCAGAGGCAATCCCAAGGAGAAATTCCAAATACCTTGTGAGCAATGATAATGTCAATGGAATGAGTATATAGACTTTGGAGAGGAGAGTAGTCATTTAGATTCATGAATTCTAGTGTTTTGGTGTGAAACACCTCTTTAATATGGAACCAAACCTTTCAGAGCTGGGTTCAAATAACAAATGAGAGTGATAAATTCAATCCTTTGAAATGTACTTTCTTTTCTGGCCAGGCCCCAGTTCAGGCTCCCAAGTTGGTTCTCCTGCAGCCACTGATAACATCATGGGCACCTCCAGAGCCTTTCCTGGCATTGTTCTGGGTGTCATTGATGTTAAGCAAATGGGGAAGGAAACGCAATTCAGAGCTCACAAAGCTAAGGCGAACTGATTTTCAAGTTCATGACTTTCAAATCCATGGTACAAAAGCATATGCACGTTCGCTAACTAGGTATGTGAAGATGAAGTTATGGCTCTTGGATCTGTTCTTCCCTTTTAATGGGAAACGCTTGTTAATTAATGTTTTTGAAACTTATTTTACCACATGAAGAGGCTTGTTCTCATGCATTTTTGGTTTAATGCCTTCCTACGTGTTTGGGTGAAAAGAATGTGTAAATAAGGCTCTGGAAAATCAAAGGTCTCATGAAATCTGAGCCTATTTAATTCAGCAAACGTTTATTAAACACTGGTGTGTTCTGGGCAGTGTAGTAGGACCTGGGCGCTGAAGAGGAGCAAGACATGGTGCATACGCTAAAGTAATTCACAACCTGATAACAGGATTGACAGGAACACAAATAAATGGCAGAAAAAAGGGCTAGGAGAGCAGTGTGAACAAGAGATAGGGAAGTAGGTGGGAGGATGGGAGAGGACTCGAGGGCACAAGCGATATTTTATTTTTTTTATTTTTTTTTATTTTTTAAATTTTTTTTATTTTTTAAAGATTTTATTTATTTATCTGACAGAGAGAGAGAGAGAGAACAAGTAGGCAGAGAGATAGGCAGAGGGAGAGGGAGAAGCAGGCTCCCCGCTGAGCAGGGAGCCTGATGCGGGGCTCGATTCCAGGATCCTGGGATCATGACCTGAGCCAAAGGCAGCCGCTTTGGCTGAGCCACCCAGGCGCCCCACAAGCAATATTTTAGTTGAGTCTTAAAGGACAGATTAAATCCTAAGTGTGGTGGAGATTGTGGGCAGGATGGGAAATCCAGATGGAAGAAAGAGAGTAAGTTAGGACCTGGAAAATGCAGAGGATCCTAGTGACATGGTGCCCGATCCAGTCTCCCTGACCATTGAGGTGGGGGTGGGGGAGTAGAGGCATCGACTCTGAGAGAGAGAGAGTGCCAGAGAATGGATGCCTGAACTGGTCTCTCATGCTCTCATGCCGTAGGATCCCCTTCCCTCCGCTTCCTCTCAGACCTGAGTGATTTCAGGTGCTGTCCTGCAGAGCTTGTTTTACACACCGATTCATACCAACGTGACTTGACTCTTCCTGCGTATGTCTACATCTTAAAAGGAAAACATTTAAGAACACAGTGATGGAGCTGATGGAGTTACTTTTTTACAGGGAATTTTAAAGATTTATCTATTTGAGAGAGAGAGCAAGTACGCGAGTGTGAGTGTGGTGGGGAGAGGGGCGGGGTGGGGGGAGAGAGCTAATCCCAAGCAGACTCCTCACTGATTCTGGAGCCCAACATGGGGATCCATCTCACCCCCCTGAGATCATGACCTGAGCCAAAACCAAGAGTCAACTAACTGAGTCACCCAGGCGTCCCTACAGGAGAGTTTTATACCTTGAGCAAGGGGCCTGTAAGGAATGTACTAGCCATGGGGACTGGGGGGTGGGGGGGCATTGCTGGAGCACATAATCATTCCATCATAGTGGGTATGTGAGCACTGAAGAAAGAGGGTCTCTGTTCAGGGGTGTGCATTTGGGAGAACAGAAGAGGGAGGCAGTAGATAAAACCTCAAGTTGGGATTGATGGTCCTATGTCTTATCTTGGTATCTTCCAGTGAGCTCACCAATAAGCTCTATTTCTCCCTGGTGCTTATTTATGTGCCAGTTTCCCATTTTTATCCTTTCTCATCTTCTTCCTTTAACTCCATCCGCTTTTTCCAGATCCAACACCGTCATACATCCACCATATGGCATGATGTTATAATTTGGCAAACACCAGTAAAATGAAATCAAACTCTCCTTTACATTGCCCTTTTCTTCCCTTTCCTTCTGTTGCTAGTTGTGGTTCTGTGGGAGGCTCACGCAGCTGGTAGCCTGTTGAAGGAGCCATAAAATGATGTAAGATGCCACTTCGGAGATAAACACATTGATCCTGCAAAATGCCCAAGCTTAACAGTGGAAGGGAAATCCAGCAGAGACCTGAGACAGATGAGTTCATTGTGATTGTGTTCTTTGGCATTAAAGCATATTGGTTACACCATATGTCACATACCCACTATCTCGAAGGCATAAAGTATTCCACTGAAATGCATTTTAAAAATTACTGAAGTTATCATGTCAGGGATAAAATTAACACTTTTCCATTTGAATCTTTATAAAACACAGTCACTCTCTCACCTTCATTTTGAGTATTTTAGAAAGAATGTAAGAACAACCTTCAGATCAAAAACTAATGATGTAATGTATGGTGATTAACATAACAAAAAAAAGAACAGCCTTCAGCATATTTTTTCATTTGTTTTAAACAAGAGTAAATTTACAGAAAAATTGGAAATACTGTACAAAAACACTCATTTTTCCTCAACCATTTGGGAGTAAGTTGGTGAAATAATGCCCCATCATTCCCCTTAATATTTGTTATGGGCTGAATGGAGTCCCCTTGACATTCTTATGAGTCTCTAATTCTTGGGACTTCAGAATGTGACTGAATTTGGAGGTAGGGCCTTTAAAGAGGCAATTAAGTTAAAATGAGGGGATTGGGATGGGCCTAATCCAATGTGACTGGTGTCCTAATAGGAAGAGGAAATTTGGACACAGATGTGATGCAGAGGGAGGATGATGTGAAGACACAGGGAGAAGCCGGCCATCTACAAGCCAAGGCCTGGAACAGACCCTTCCCTCAGAGCCCTCAGGAGGAACCAACCCTGCAGACATCTTGATCTTGGAATTCCAACCTCCAGAGCTGTAAGAAAATACATTTCTGTTGTTTAAACCACCTAGTCCGTAGCACCTTGTTATGACAGGTATAGCAAATGAATATAATACTGTAGTGGACATTTCCTAAACAAGGGCATTTTTCCACACAACCAGCAATACAACCATCAGAACCAGAAAATGAATCCTTAGCTCTCATTCAAGTTTCATGAGTTGTCCCTGTGCAGAAAAAGGATCCGGTTGAGAAGCACGTCTTGCATTCAGTAGGTCCTTAGGCCAGAGTGGTTCCTCCATTTTCCCTTGACTTTTGTGACACTCATGCTTTTCAAGGTTGCAGGCCAGTCATTTTGTGGAATGTCCTTCATTTCCTTTGTCTCATGGTTCTACACTATGATATTCAGATTATGCTCTTTTACGGCAAAGATGGTGGATGATTTCCATTTGTCTTTTTCCAGGTGATGTTCACTTTGTCACTTGATTACTGCGGTAGCGGCTTGTCCTCTGTAAGTATCTTCCCTTTACAAATATCAAGTATTTTGTGAAGAGTTATTTTGAAAATGCAAGTATGTTGCAAACTTTCAATTAATTAATTAATTTTTCTATTAAGTTTCTATTATTTCTATTAAGTTTCTATTAAGTTTTCTATTTTATTTAATGGGTTATAATATGTTACTATCATTTCTTTTGATGCTTAAATTGCTCCCAGTTTAGAAAATGGGAGCTTCTTCAAGACATCCTCTGTGTTCTTTTGACATGTCCCAATATGCTTTGAATCCTTTCTTGCTTTTTAACACAAAGAGATATTCCAGGCCCATATTGCAATTTTCCTGCTTTAGGCCTGGGATTGGCTATTGCTCCAAGGAATCTGGTTGCTTTAGTGGACAGTGGTATTTAGGGTCCAAAATTGGGAAAGTAAGTATGCTCATTCCTGCGGGGGTATCACTGCTCCTGTGACAAAACTAGAGAACGTGTGTGTATGTATATTTGCACATATACATGCACCTTTGTTTCTTTATCTATGCCTGCATCTATCTATGTATCTACCCATGTCTGTCTGTCTATCTACCTACCTTAAAAATAATGAGTTCAAACTGCTACCTTCCATTTCAATTCACCGTTACGGGGCTCTGACTTCCCACACTAGGCTGCCCACTCTCCTCACCTTGCTCAGGGTCTGATCCCCACACTGGGCAGCCCATACCATGGGGGTAACCTCCTCCCTTCACTTCTGTCCCAGGCTCTAACACCTCACATAAAGGCCCTCTTTACACCTCTTTATACCTGTGCTGAGCAGCCCTCTCCATGTATGCACTTCTCAGACTGCTTGGACACTGAATTCTGCTCAGGTGCTTCTCTACCCCCACCCCTACCTTATCCTGCAGCCTTCCCTGCCCCATCTAATGGCTTTAGGATTGAGTTGTTCAGGACCAGAAGGGGAAGGGATAAAGAAGAGAAAAAAAATCATACTTAAGCTCACTCATTTTAAGCAACTATTTTCATTTTAGTTTACTTTCAATCTTGACCTTGTATATATATATGTATATATATATATACTGAATTTGGAGGTAGGGCCTTTAAAGAGACAATTAAGTTAAAATGAAGGGATTGGAATGGGCCTAATCTAGTGTGATATACATTGGGCCTAATCCAATATATATACACATACATATATATTATAATATATATATATCTACAGTTATCATAGAGTAATGCAATTGTTTTATATTTAAGGTTAACATTGAAATTCTTCTTATTTTTCTACATAGCTTTTATAAAAAGTTATTATTGGCCATAGAAAATGCCTTAAGAAGATAAGCCTTAATTTACTCAATCATTTCTCTCTTATTGGTTATTTATGTTGTTCCTAATTGTTCCCATATAGATAATGTGGGGAATCTCCTCATGAATATGACTTCCCTTGTCTGTTAGATTAATTTCCTTGGATGATGCCCAGGAGTGGGATTATATGGCTGGAGAACATGAATCCTCTTGAATATGTGTAAAGCACTTAGCTAAGGATTTAGCACCCTAGTAAGTCCTCAACACATGTTTATTGAATCAAATAAGGATATCGCTTTCCCTTTTTTCTTCTTAAACAATTTGCTTGATTTGGACAAGTTGCTTAACTTTTCTAAACCTCAGTTTCCTCATCTCTAAGTAGGGTAATCCACAGTCTAATTGTACTGTTAACTCCTCACCCCTTCTCATGGGAGACTTTGTGAAGTCCCTTATCTGTAGGTACTTGAGGGAGACTAATGTCTGTCCAGCCTGCCTCAGACCCTTTCTGGTGCCCCTCGGCTCTACATTGCCCACATAGCATGTCTTTTGTCCTTCACAGGCAATTCCTAGTGTCACAGACTCTAATCCTAATTGTAAAGTTCTCAGAACACCGACTGTTCCCTGCTTCCTGCTTCTGTCTCCGCTGCAGCCGCAGCTGAGGTGAGCCCATCTCTCCATTCTGCTCAGTGGTGAATGAGGAGCGATAGACATGGCTCTGGATGATTTGAGTGGAAAGGAGACATCATTCCAGAGCAAGTGGAATCTAAAAAGAATTTCTTGACTGTAGAAATCAGGAATGTATGATATTTGCTGTGTTCCACTGTAAAACATTGTTCTCTGCATTTAGAAGCCTGAGGATTTTTTGTTACTGTTGTTGATGATGATGTCTTAATGGTTCCTTTAAGCCTTTTTGACTTTATTATTTTTTTTAAAGTTAAAAACATCAAAGCAATGTATAAATGAAATAAAACGTGATCTAGCACTGCCAGATTTTTAATAGAAAATGGCAGCTCTTCTCCATCCCTTCTTATCTTGATTGCTTCTCTGAGGCAACTACTTTTAACTCTTTTAGCCATTGTTTTCCTAATATTTGCCTCCATATTTCTAAATAACATTTTAAAATACAAGTTGCATTGGCTTTGCGTCTTGGTAAAATAACTAGAGTGAATTTTGTTATTTGTTAAGAAAACAAATGTATTAAAGGATTTAGGTGGCTTACTGAATTTGGGGGCATTCTGGAGAAAATGGATTGAAGCTGAATTTCTAGAAATAATGTCCCAGACCACACCACAGATTAGCCTGCTGAGGAAACTGTGGCTACTGACCGCAAAACCACACAACCAGGTCCATCCTTAGGAAGCATGCCAGCCAGAGGTCTCTCAATCAGTGTTTATGTGGGAGCCCATCATGGCTGCATGTCTATATATAGATCAATGTGTAAACTAAAACTCATTGTGCAGCTCCCCTTCAGCTCACTTCGGCCACCACCCACGCCAGCCCCTCACCAGTGTTTCCTTTGCTTTCTCACTTCTTTCAAGTATGTATGTGTGATTGGTGGAATCTAGCTGCAAGTTTAAATGTGAAAAACGAAGTGTGTCATTTTTTCACAGAGAGCTTGGTGACCCAGTGTGTGGGTTGCATGCTGTCTACTTTTTCCATTAGAATATTAATACTATAGTATATTAGTTATAGTATATTACTACATTAATCATAGTTATTTTTTGATGGTCTGATAATTTCTAACATCATTGCCATATCTGAGTCTGGTTCTGATGCTTGTTTTGTCTCTTCAAACTGTGCTTTTTGCCTTTAAGGATGTCTTATAATTTTAGGTGGAAAGCCAGACATAATGTACTGGGTAAAAGATGCTGCAGTAAATAGGCCATTAGCAGTGTGGTGGTAAGGTATGTGTGGGGAGTGTTCTACAGTCCTGTGATCAGGTCCCAGTCTTTTAGTGAGCCTGGCCTGGGACTGTGAACTTCACGCGTGCTTCTCAGTTCTTCCCTCCCCTCTTGGGTGGGACAGGGTGGCCAGAGTCAGCTGGAGTTGGGTATTTCCCTTCCACAAAGTCAGTTAGGCTCTGATAAAACCCCAGCAGATTAGGGTCTGACTAAACAGTTTCTCCTAAAGTCAGGCCTTGTTAAGAATGGAATGCTCCTTTTCTCCTTCTTCTGGAAGCATGAGAAGAATTTTTTCTGATCTTCACTGTGAGAACCTGGTAGAGCTCCAGGAGGTAAAATTCACAAAAGTGTGGGGGTCCTCTCATGACTGAGTCCCCGTTAAGTTTTAATGCTCAAACTTGTCCACTCTGTGCCTCCCCCAATTTATCAATTACAGTTCAGGTTTCCTATCCTCCAGGCGCTGGTTCCTGCTGTGGTTTCTACCCTGGTGTGTTGTGATTCTCGGGATCTGTCTACCTGTCTCTCCAATTTTGGGAGAAGCACTTCGCCCTGTGACCTCAGTTCTCTGATGGATCTAAGAAGACTTGTTGATTTTTAGTTTGTTCACTTTTTACTTGAGAGGACAGAGTGATGACTTCCAAACAACTTATATGCTGGACCAGAAACTGGAAGTCTCCTCCTGACATTTTTGGATGTTCTAAAGTATTTCTCTGCCAGAAGAGGACCAGTAAAGTTAGAAAAACCCCATTCAATGTGGCAGATTAATTTCATATGTGTTTAGTAGGTTTTATTTGAGACAACCTGAAAGACTGGCAATGACATGGGGTTTGGAAACCTGATGTGACTGATGTCTGCCTGTGTGATTTTGGACATGTTACTCTCTCTGAGGGTCAGTTTTCTAATACGTAAAATGGAGGTTGGATTATACTTCTTATAGAATTGCCTTCCTGTTGTTATTTTTATTCCTAATTTAGAGAATAGGAGGCAGCTGGGCAGGATAGTGAGGAAATCTCTTCCTTTACTGTGTCCTCACTTGGTTTTGTGCCCTGCTCTACTTGTGTACTTCTAACAGTAACTGTCTTTACTACCTCTTCTATCTTTGATGTTAAGCCTTCAGTGTCATCCTTGTCTGTATATAAAGATAGAATCTATAGGGCTTTGCTATAGTATTACATTCTTCCACGAGCATCAAGGAAACCCTGACATAGACATCTGGCTGAAGTTTGCAAATTGATGATTTCTGTTTCCAGCCAATTTTCTTTTCTGAGTCAGAATAATTTGAAACTCCCTATATGTTCCATTGGTACTATGTTAAGTAGCATCTCGATTTCAGTGACCATATTAGTAGTCAGGACATTACTGAGGATAGAGTTACGTTTGGCTGTAGGAATTCCACAGCTTCTTTCCCTGTGTCTTGCTAAGTGAAGTACTTAGACTCTCAGTTCCTCATTATGAAGATTCTAGGACACACCCCGATGAGTACGTTCAATTTGTTTCTAGCAACCTTTCCTTGGCAGATGAGCTAAAAGGTCAACTGTTAATTAAGGTGGAGCAAAAATAAGGTGAGCACTGGCTGAGTCATGGGTTGGGACTTGGAGCACTTCAAAGCTGGAGATGGTTGGGTCCAAGTAAGTTGGATCTGTTTCCTCCTGTTGCTGTTTCCAAAGGCCCTCATGGAGGAGGGGAGGAAATGAGAACCAAGAGGCGAAAGACCAAAGGATGAGGAGAGGAGAGGGCAAGAGATAAAGAGGAAAGATAAGAAGGAAACTAAACTTTATCGGGTGTTCCTCAGGTATCAGTAACCATCTTATGCATTTCATTCTATTGCTCCTCAGAGCCATCCTCTAGAGTAGCGATCACTCCTGTTTGTCCAGTATCTGCTTTGTGCCATGTACTGTGTGATGGGCCTGGTGATGTCATGATGAATACTTCATTCACATCTGCCTGAACAGGAGGTGTTGACAGTCTAGTAGGGGACTCTGACATTGAGAGAGTTTCCATACAGGGCACTAAGTGCCTTGGGAGTGCCTGAAGAGTTTTCAGGCAAAAGTAATTAGTATTGCCTGGGGGAAGTAGGTCTGGAAAGAATAAGGTGCATGTGGAGAGGGTCCTCTAAGTGGAGGGAGAGGTATATGCAAACATGAGGGCATAGAACATCATCATATAATTTGCTGTGGCTGGAACACAGGGAGTAGAGGAAGGGAGTGGCCTGATCATGGTGGGTCCTCTGGGCCAGCCCAAGTTTGGGCTTCATGATGAGGGAGAAATGCCTCAGCAGAGAAACAACTTGGTAGCATCTGTCTTTTAGGCAGGCTCCTCTAGCAGCATCGTGCAGGATGGGTTGGAAGTTGTTGAGAATGAAGTGCAGGTGATTCCAGAGAAAAGTCTGTTTAAACAGTCTAGACACAGACTAATACATGTCTGAATAAGACATTGAGGGTGAGAAAATTCATGGACTCCAGTGACTGTTATAAAACAATAGAACTTAGTGACTGATTGTATGGTGATGGGAAGGATGAGGGAAATCCAAGATAATAGTCAAACTTCTGGGTAGGGTAATTAGGATCAGAGTAGCCCACTACCTTGTGTTAGAAATTGGTCCTGGCAATCACCCCTTGCTGCCTCTCTAATGCAGTTGCCAAGGAAGCAACAGTGACAAAATTGATCCTTTTGGAACCAGTACTGGGGCTGGAGCATGCAGATAAGGGTCTATCTCCTCTTCCTCTGAGTCTCAATATTGGAACACCCTACCTAGATGTGGAAGAGAAGGGTCAAGCTGGCCAAGTCAACTTGCCTGTCCAACCACATTCACAAATGAGATGGAAGAGCAAGACAGTGGAGGATACACAGAATTTAGTTTACAGTAATCTCATGCCATCACTCAATGTGCTTCAGTCTATGTCTTGGATTAGGACCAATCTGTTTTGTAACTCTTCCACTTTGAGTGGGGTGGATGGAAAAGTAGGAGGCAAATGAAAAAAAGGAGCAAGAATTTCCTCTTCTATATCCTGGAGAAGAAATTTAGGAGAAACTGGCTTGAGATGGGGAGATGATAATCATTTCATTTTTTTTTAAGATTTTATTTATTTATTTGACAGAGAGAGAGAGAGAGGGAGAGAGAGCACAAGCAGGGGGAGCGGCAGGCAGAGGGAGAAAGAGAAGTGGGGCTCAATCCCAGGACCCAGGGACCATGACCTGAACTGAAGGCAGACACTCAACTGACTGAACCACCCAGGTGCCCCAATCATTTCATTTTGATATGCAGAGTCTGAGATGACGGTAGAACATCCAGGTAGTAAGGTCCATTACAAAGTTGAAAATAAGATTCTAGAGCTCAGGAGGGAGGTCTGGGCTAGAAAAACGGGTTATGATATTATCTGAAAATAGGTGATAGTTGAAGTCTTATCTGTGGTTCACAACAGGGGACGCAGAGTAAACACCGGCAGCATGCAATTTAAGGGACAGGTGGGGAAGATCAGTCATGAAGGTGAGTGCTGAGAAATTAATGGGTAGGAGAAAAACCTGGCGAGTGAGGTCTGGGAAGCTACAGGAAGAAAGTCCTCAAGAAGAGTTGTCAGTAGGGCATAAGGACAGGTATGGAGCACCAGGAGAATAGCTTGGAACAGCTACGAAGAAAAGGTGGAAAGAACAGAAAGAAGATAAATAAAAGGCATTTTCAAGCTGCCATGAGAGCATGGCTGAAAATGGAACCCCACCAATCATGGTGCCAGTCCCCATGAAAATGCCACTTCAGCAACAGTCAAATGTCAGATTACTAGGATTGGGGATTCGCTGGGTGAATGTGGTGGGAGGACAAAGGGATGGGGAGCTGAAAATGTTGGGTTCCAGTTCAAAAAGAAGGGAAGACATTTCAAGTGGGATTGGGAGACTCTAATAGGCTGCAGTTCTAGCGACTGCCTTGGGGTCTCTATGCAGTAAGAGACTAGTGCAAAGGCAGGAAGATGAAGAGGTGGTGGTTTATAGACTGAAATGTTGGAGTTTAAGGTTTCAGAGGCAAAACTGCTCCTCATGATGACAAGGGCCACTGTGGCCATGGGAGTAGATTGTAGAGGGGGGAGGGAGTTGGAGTTTATTGTCACTGAGGCTTGGGACTAAGAGGCTAGTGTGTTAGGTGTGCTGCCCATGTGGACACTGAATTCATTTAAGATGATAGCAGGTCTAAGGTGGAGAGGAAGACAACCAGGTATCAAAATACTTGATGAATGTAGAATTGTGATGCTCACTTTGGTGGATTGTTACCTAGAAGAGTAGAAGGAGGAATACAAAATGGTTGAACCGTAAGAAAAAGGGATTTGGTACAGGAGGAAAAATAACATCTTGAGAGCATTGTTAGAGACTTAAGAGAATGCCGGCCTTTGGTGTCCCTGTAAGGGAATGAGCAGCCTCCATGAAAAAAGAAATAAATATCCTCAGGGAAGAGACAGGATTCAAACAGTCAAGGAAGTAGAGAGAACATTATTAGGAGGATGTCATCCCAGAGGTGGCTTATATTGCATATGGCATTTTCTGTTTCATTGACTTTTTTCTATTAAGTATTATTAAGATATTGTTTAAATTATTATGGCTCTAGAATAAAATTTAATTTCTGGTGTTTGAAGTCCAACTTTGTTGCTCTTTTTTCCTTTCAAAGTTTCTTAGTTATTCTCACTTAATAAAATTATTTCACTGTTATTCAAACAGATTTTGAATAAATGTATATAGTGGGCCTTTGAACAACCCAGGTTTGAATGGCACAGGCCCACTTACATGTGGATTTTTTTCTTTTCCTGTGAAAAGCCTTATTGTTTTCATTGGATCCATGGCTTGGGAGAGGCCTCCAGGGTAAAAAGCTGCCTGCAGGGAGAGCCTCAGGCAGAAGCTCTGGCACCAGGGGGATGCCAGGGGGCCCCTCAAAGACTGCTAGGCTCCTGAGGCTCCTGAGTGTGCTTGAGGGTGAGTCTTTCTGAGAGATATTCATCCAGCCCAGCCTGGGGGCCAAGCCTGTGAAGTTAGCCAGGTGGTCACCATCTTCTCAATGAGTTTCACCTGCTCACCCAGGAAGCCGTTCTCCAGGAAGCTACAGAGATGAGGGTCTGCGTGGGCCGAACTTCGGGCACACAGATCCAAGAGGGCCTGCTTCAGGTTTTTCTCCAGGACCACGCAGATTCCACGGAATCCAGGGCTTTATCCCACTCATCTTGGAACAGCTTCTGCATGTCCTGGAAATGGGCGCAGCCCTGGGCTGGTTTTGCATCTTCAAAGGATGCTGCCTGTCCTCATTTTTCTCCTCTGCCAACTCTCGGAAGAAGTGGTCCATGCCCTCCAGAGCCAGATCTTCGTGGTCAAAATAGAAACCCAGAGAGAGAAAAGTGTAGGAGGCCTGCAGATGCATGTTGACCAGGCAGCTGATGGCAGTTTCCACCTCAGTGGAATAATTCTGATGAATCTGAGTGCTCATGGTTGCTCAGCAGTAAGGAGCTAAGCTCAGAAGGTGGTGTTGGCTGGTTCCAGAGGCAGAGGATGGCTGAGAAGATGCCTTTACAGGTCACGACTGGACAAGAGTTTGGAGGGTGGTGGTCGGCTGAAAGAAGGGGTGTCCCTGGGTCTGTTCTGTCCAAGCACGATTGAAGCAACGGACAGATCTGGACGACCATCAGGACCACTGCCTATACAAGGATTTTTTATAGTGCAGTGCTATAAATGTAGTTTCTTTTCCTTGTGGTTTTCTTAATAACATTTTCTCTTCTCTACCTCTCTTTATTTTAAGGATACGGTTTGTAGTACATATAACATACAAAATACAGTGTTAATTGTAAAGAAGAAAGAAGATGTTATCAGTAAAGCATCAGTCAGCAGTAGGCTATCAGTAGTTAAATTTTGGGGAAGTCCAAAGTTATGTGCGGAATTTTGATTGTGTGGAGGAGTCAGTGCCCCTAACCCCCAGGTTGTGCAAGGGTCAACAGTACTTTAATCTGGGTCTAATTGATACCCTCACCTTTTGTTGTAGGTCAAGTTCTCTGGGAAGCAGACTCTGAGAGGAAGATTTCCATGTAGTAGGTTTATTAAGAAGTGCCCTTGGGGTGGGGGGTGTCTGGCTGGCTTAGTCGGAAGAGAGTGTGACTCTTGACCTAGGGGTTGTGAGTTTAAGCCCCACATGGGGTATAGAGATTACTTAAGTAAAGAAAACCTCGAAAAAAAAAAAAAGTACTTCTCTGGGCATGAAGGAAGTGGGACGAGGCAGAGGAAGGGGTTGAACTGTAATGAAGTCATGGACAGGGGCCTCAGCTGACCCCAGAAAGTTCCAGGAATAGGATGGAACTTCATAGTTGTCCCGAACTGAGGCAAAGGGGACCAGGCCTTTGTGAAACTTCCTCCCCAACCACTGAGCAGTCACCTGAGAACTACCCAGGAGAGAAGGCGCCTTTCTTCAGATAAGGGAGGTTCCTTGAGAACAAGCGGGCAGAAGCTGTTAGCATCCAACACTCTGCAGCTAAAGGAGTGAGTGTCTTGGTTCTGAAGTGGGAAATCTGGATGGCACATCACAACGTCCACTTCAACAAAATGGGTGCATATTGCGTCTTCTCATTTATTCACATCTTTTTTGCAGAGATTTTCAAAGATTCAAATAATCACAAAGACAATTTTTTTTCATATATGCCTACCATACTGCTTGTTAAATTTATTACAGGTTATTTTGTATTTTGTGTTAGAATGTTGAATAAGAACTTTTCCCGTGAGATTTTCTAGCTGTGTATTCCTTGTATGTAAGAACAATGTGTATGGATTACTATATTTGTTTATTATATTTCTTCAGCTTTATTAAGGTATGATTGACACAATAAACAACACATATTTAAAGTGCATACTTAGATGAGTTTTTTAAAATTTAAATTCAATTAATTAACATATAATATATGATTTGTTTCAAGAGTACAGGTCTGTGATTCATACTTATGTGAGTTTTGACATATATATTCCTTTATAAAAACATCATCGCCCCCAGAAGCTTCCTTATGTCCCATTGTCAGCCATTCTTCCCTAGTGTCAGCTCCTGGCCCAAGGCAACCACTCATCTGCTCTCTGGCACTATAGATTAGTTTACATTTTTGAGAATTTCTTATTAATGGAATCAGAGTACCTATCCTTTTTTTGCTTGTCTTCTCAGCATAATTACGTGGAAATTCATCCATGTTGTTTTGTGTATCAGTAATTCGTTTCTTCTCCTTGCCGTGTAGTATTCTATCATAGATAGACCACACTTGGTTTATCCATTTACCAGCCAATGGATATTTGCTTGTTTCCAGTTGGGGCCGATTATAAATAAAGCTGCTGTGAACATCTGTGTACAAGTCTTTGTGTGGACATATGATTTCTTTTCTCTTGGGTAAATGTTTACAAGTGGAATGGCCTGGTCATAGGGGAAATATGTGTTTAACTTTTTTTTTAAATCAGATTGTCTGTTTTCCAAACTATTTTCAAAATGATCATATCCTTTTACATTCTCAACAGCAGTAAATGGAAGTTTCAGTTCTTCCATATCCTTTGCCAGTACTCAGTATGGTAAGACTTTTTAATGACCAATGATGTTGAGCATCTTTTCATGTGCTTATTGTATTTATTTTTACAGATCTAACTTAATTCTGATTATTTCTAAAACATATTTATATATTTAGTTGGGTTTTCTAGGTACACAAATAAATCATGTGTAAGTTACGCTATTTATTTCCTTTCAAAGATGCTGTCTTAGTTCTGTTTTTTGTTGAGAACTTAAATAGTAGTGCTATCTTTGGCTTTACCCTGACTAACATAGTCAGTTACAAGTCACATAATATTATTGGCATTAGAATATTTAATTCTTTAAATATACTTGTTTCCATCCAAATTTGCTAAGATTTTTGTTAAGCAGTTTACCCTTAGGGCTGCCTGGGTAGCTCAGTCAATTAAGCATCAGACTCAATCTCTCAGCTCAGGTCTTGTCTCAGCTCTCATTTTGTAAACAAGACCTCAGCTCAGGTCTTGATCTCTCAGCTCAGGACATAAGGAAGCTGAGTTCTTAAAAAAAAGAAAGAAAGGAAGAAATTTACCTTTAAATTACATTTTTTCCACAATATTAAGATAATTATGTTTCTCCTTTTTCCTTTTTAGATATAAAAATGGAAAAAACTACATACTATTTTCTAATTTTTTTGTAGATGTAAACTTTTATGATGAGCATCTTCCTATGCATTGACAATCATTCCATAACATTATGATTAAAGGCTGCTTAGTATTTTATTTTATAGTGGTACTGTAATTTAGTTGGCCAGTCTTCTATTATAAAACATATAGGTTATTTAAACTTTCTCTTTTGCTATTATAAATTTTGTTGAGATAAATATTGTTGTAAATTAAATCTTGGTGTGCATGTAGGCCTATCCAGCTAAAATTTCTAGATGTGCAATGCTAGGTCAGAGTCTGAATATTTTTAATGCTTTAATATTTACTATAACATTTCTCCCAAGAAAGTTAGTAGCCATTTACAGTTCACAAAATTCTAATCTGCTCTTATAATTTGAGGGATGACCAGTGTTGCCTCATGTGCCGTGAACATTTGCTTTAGTAATTTTCATTTGCTGTTGATTTTACTGATCATTTTATTTATTTTTTTAAAACACTTTTATTTATTTATTTGAGAGAGAGAGAGACTGAGGGAGAGAGACAGAGACAGAGAGCACGGTGAGGAAGAGAGAGAGAGGGACAAGCAGACTTCTGCACTGAGTGTGGAGCCCAATGTGGGACTTGATCCCAGGACCCGAGATCATGACCTGAGCTGAAATCAAGAGTCAGATGCTCAACTAACTGAGCCTCCTAAGTGCCCCTGATTACGTTGATCGTTTTAAATGTGTTTTATTTTTTATTTTCTATTTTACTTCTTTGTTTCCTTTCTGTTTGGTTATACGTACAGTTGATCCTTATCATTTGTGGATTCTGTATTTGCAAACTCATCTACTAAGTAGATTGGTTTGTAATCTCAAGGTCCACATGCATGGCATTTCTGCAGTCATACACAGACATGTGCAGAGCAGTGAAAATTTTGAGTTACCTGACATACATGTTTCTGGCTGAGATCAAACAAGAGGACTCTCCTTTTGTCTCAGCTCTCATTTTGTAAACAAGAGTACTTTACGTGGTCTATGTAGTGCCATGCTTTTGCATTGTTATGCCTTTTGGTGGTGATTTCACCGTTTGAAACGACCCAAGCACAGTGCTGAAGGGCTGTCTGGTGTTCCTAAGTACAAGAAGGCTATGATGTGCCTCCCCAAGAGAATACTGTGTTAGACAAGCTTCATTCAGGCATCAGTTACAGTGCTATTGGCTGTGAGTTCAATGTTAATGAATCAACAATATATATTTAAAAGTTCTCTTTAAACAGAAAAAAAATAAAGTCATGTATTGATCAGTGGATGTAAACATTGTGACCAGAAGCTTGTAGGAACCTAACCCTGTATTTGCCCTAGGAGCAGTGGCTCAGTATTTGCTAATTCAGTGTTTTTTGAGGACTTTAAAAACATAACTGCTGCCAATAATGAGAACTGACTGTTCTATGTTTTCTATGGATTTTGCCCCCAAGATTTAGAAGGTCTGCTCTCAGCTCATTATCATCTTTGCCCCCTTCTGAGCACTTATTTCCCAGAATCATTTGCCATCTGGGTTCCAGTTCAGGGTCTACTGGTGAAAAGTAGTCATGTGAGGTTAGGAAGGTG